TGATATCTTGTGGAGGTTTCGATTCTCTATCGCTGTGATCTGAGCAGCCTGATGGCCCCAGAAGCGTTCGAATCGTTGGAAAACGGTCGTCAAATCGCCCGTACAGGACCAAAGGAACTTCTTCATATGAGAGTGAAGTCCTCGACGATCGAGGTCGTTGTACGCCCGAAGTGGCGATATTGATTAACGAAACAAGATACAAACTTCTCCTTCCAAGGCGTTAGCCACGTATTGCAACAGTATTGTATAGCTGCAAGCGGGTGGCGGCCTGGTGTCTCAAATTGGCGTAAACGTTCGTTGAAGCTATTCACATCTTGTGACTTGACGATCTCGTTCCACTCTTGTAGAAACGCTTGGAATGCCGGGGCCCGTACGACTCGATTGCCGATTTTTGATGCCTTAGGAAAAATTGCTTGCATTTCGCAACGACATTCTGGTTAATATGCCACGTGCAGAGAAGGTTAGTACTGTTTTGAAGCTCGCGAAAGCTATCTAACGCCTTAAGCAACGCAGTATCTCGGTCCGTGACAGTGACCCTTGGAAATGGGATCGACTCCTTCTCGCAAAGGACTAGCAGCAACGAGATAGCCCAATAGTAATGGGACTCGGTCTCGCCGTTCAAGAAGATAGAGGCAATAGAGAACGTTTTGTTATCTCGAGTGGCCGCGCAGATATTCAATAACGGCATATTGAATCGGTTCGTCTTGTAGGTACAGTCGAGGACGAGGACATCGTGATGCTGACGCCATCGATGGAAGGTAGCACGAGGCGCGAGAAATAGCCCAGTTAGCCGGCCCTGGGGATCACGACTATCTCGATGAAAGAAGTCGGACTTATCTAGCCGGTCGTAGAGAAACTGAAGAGGCGTACGGCCAGCTAGTTCTTCCTGACGGTGCCTAGCCAAGGCGTTACTCACGTCTTGAGCCGTGATACCGGCTAAACGAGGATCGTCGTGAACCAGGTCACGAAGCTCGCCAGCAATATCGGTCGGCCGGGTATTGTTATTAAACTTCCGGATAATGTCGTCGCGATACTTCTGGATAACAAGCGCCCGGTACTTCGGAAAGACCATCGGGTCATCAACAAGGCGATGATTGTGAACATCGTGAAGATAAGAGATAGTCCAGTAACCGCGTTTTCCTTCAACGAGAGGCGAAATTCACAGTCTGTTTTCTGGGTTGCTGTATTGAGGCGACGACGAGAGATATGAGCAGCTTTATCCTTCCGATTTTCGTAGGGGCCGGCCTTGATACAACGAACAAGTGCAGACTTGCGTTGGCCAGCGTTATCCCGCTTCGATGTTCGAATGTGTAGGGCGTAGCCTCAGCCTCAACAACGGTATCGGCGGCTTCCATCGCGGCCTGGAAGGTCGGGAATAGTGTCTTCGTAAGCGACTCCATGATTCGGGCTCGTAAGGGCAGAAAACGCGGTGCGAATAGCTTCAGTTTTGATGGTATTGCTGATAGTTACGGTTACAGGATGTTGTTACGCAAGCATCACGAACTGGCCAGCTGGCCGGCCGGGAATGGGCGCACCAAAATTAGCGGCATCGGCACTGCGCCTGACCCAGCCACAGTTGATCCACTTTTTGGTGTACAGTTAATAAAAGGAGGTAGTAGTAGTAGTAGTAGTAGTATTGATTACCGTCTGGGACATCCCTATAAGGGCAAAAGACGTGCTAGGCTAGGTATAGTACAAGATGAGGGTGCTCGCCGGAAACCCGTCGCGCCTTCCTTACTTCTACTCCCCTATCTAGCAATTCTTGGACTCTGTGGCCGCTCGGATTCTCAGGTCCCTTCCCCCGTCAGCGGGTTCCGGGCACGGCGGTAAAGCCGTAATATTAGTCAGTCTTCGGTCAGAGCCGGGTGACTGAAAGCCCACGCAGTCAGCTGGGCCGTAGGCCCACGGGGAGCCTACGGGCAGAAAACATAGAAAGAGAGAATTGTACATATTAGGTTGGGGTTGCCTCGAGCTAGTGGCGGTGGCAAATCCGATCAAAGAATCCTGCCTCCGTTACTAGCCCGAGGAACCGGTCAAATCCCTTCCTAGTGCCTGGTTGATAGCCTTGCCCGCCGTGGGGCTGCCTTAGGCGGTGTCGAGTACCTACCTTCCGGCAGTAGAAGGGTGTGTCGGTGATTTTCTCCTCCCGCAGGAGCATTCGATCCGGGCCTCTTCGTGGTTAAACCTCTCGTGGTAGTCGGCGAAGTCCCCGTGCCCGCTCCTCGCAGCGAGCAGGTGATGGAGGTGCTGTCGTTTGGTGTGCAGCTCCGGGGCACCCGAGCGAGGCCTTGAGCCCTAGGCTCTTGTAGCTGCTCAGGGCCCCGCGGCCCACCAGTCCTGGAAGTCGCGCCTGGCCGCAGCCTTGGCCTGTCTCTTGATGTTCGCGTACGTCGGCGGCCTGTCCGGGCCGAGGCCCGGCAGCCCTCCTTTGCTAGCTGGTCGGCCCGCTCGTTGCCGGCGATCCCCGTATGGCCGGGGCACCAGCGCGTCCTGACGTCTCCGTGCCGAGCCGCGGCCTCAGCGAACTTCTCCGCCGCCGCTTGCGACGAGATCGATGGGCTGCCTCGTATGGCTCTTATAGCCGCAGAGTTATCAAGGCAGACGACTATCCGGCACTGCTGGTCCGGGGTCCTGGGGACCACGTGAGTGCCGCTCGAAGCCCTCGAGGGCGCCTTCCACCTCTGCGTCGTAGACCTCAGCGAGTAGGACCCGACCGCTGCCGTAGGTCACTTCGCTGGGCCTAGCCACACTGAGTACCCATGCCCGCAGGCGCCGTCTTCGCTCTGCGAGCCGTCAGTGTAGACGATGAGGGTATCTTCAGGGCATACCCGGAGCCACGAGTTGAAGTCTCTCGCCGCCTGCGTTTTGTCTACGCCCCTGTCGGGTCGGGCTGAGGGGTGCTGGGGAGAAGTCGGGGCCTCGGGCATGGGCCGTCATTTGGTGAAGACGCAGGAGTCTCGAGGCGTGCTGCTTCTGGGCCGCGCGAGGCCCGCATACCGTGCCTCTTCATTAGCTCCCGGCCAGGCGTTGGGAGGATGCTCATACGGGTGTCAAGGGTGCCGCTCATCTAGGAGCGTAGACGGACCGCGGCGCGTCTCTGAGCGTCTGCGAGGAGCAGCGTGGCAGGGGATCCCGGTCTCTCGGTGGAGGCCACAATGGGCATGGTACACCAGACGGGCGCGATGGCGCGCATCGCGACGTTTAAGGTCAGCTGGATCCTATTCTTCAGGTAGGTGATCCGCGACGGAACTAAGCGGGCAGTCCCCACACAGGCCGAAGCGCCCCGGGTACCATACATGGGCGCCGTATAAAGGATCGGGAGGACGCAGGCCGTGACCGCATGCCGTGTCGACCGGGAGGATTCCGCGCCGGGTGTTTGAGAGGTTCTGGAGGAACCCTGCGGCCGTCATCGCCTTCGCGGCCCACTTCTCCACATGCGTGCGGAATGAGAGCTTTCTGTCGTACCAGACGCCGAGCCAGCGCAGGTCCTGCTGTGGCTCCTTTCTACGGACCCGTGCCAGACCGACGGCAGGTCCCCTTTGTATCTCGGTCTCGTGAAGTGGATGACTTCTGTCTTGCCCGGGTCGAACACTACGCCATTATCGGCTCCCCACTGGATGAGCTCACCCGCGGCGCGCGTGGCCCGGGCGGCCGTCTCCTGTAGGGACCGGCCCCGGATCAGGGTGGCCACGTCATCTGCGTAGCCGAAGCGCGAGTTCGGTTCCCTATCGAGTAGATGGGCACTGTATAGAGGAGGAAGAGAATCGGGAGGCCGGGAGCCCTGTGGCAGCCCGCACGTCAGGGGGGTTGTCGGCGTCGTTATATCCTCGAGCCGTATTCTGGCCGATCTCTGCTCCATAAAGCAACCTGCCCACCGGACCAGGTTTGTTGGCCAGCCCTGTTCCCGTAGGCGTAGGAGGAGCCGGTTCCGCAGAACCGTGTCAAAGGCGCCCTGTATATCCATCGTGATTAGCGTGGCGACTTTCCCCTCGGTGAGGGCCGTCTCCGCGTCGTGGAGCAATGCTAGCGCTAGGTCGAGCGCTGAACGTTTGGGCAGGGCACCCGCATGCTGGCTGTGGATGACTCGTTGTGTGATCGCAGCCCAGGCTAGGCGCCGGGCTATTAGGCGTTCGAGTCCTTGCCGAGGCAAGCTAGAGAGAAATCGGCCTCCAGCCTCTCGGAATAGACAGGTCCCTCTTGCCAGGCTTAGGGATCATTACGACCTCTGCTGCGCGGAAACAAGCGGGGTGGTAGCCCAGGTGTAGGCAGCCTTCATATAGTCCCCTCACCGCCTCGCCGATGTGGTTCCAGACGCGACGCAGCATTCGGACCGTGATGCCGTCGATCCCCGGGGAGGTGTTGCCCGTAGAGGTGCAGGCGCATGCCGCATCCGCGAGCGTGACGCTGCAGTCGAGAGTCCTCCTGGGGCCAGCACCTCTGGGGCCCAGGGGTCCGGGATGTCGTCCGCGGCCCCGCGCCTTTCTAGGATCTCGACTCGGAGCGCGTTTGCCTTTTCCGTCTGGGTCTCGAAGACCTGGTCGCCTACCTGTATAGGCGGGGCCCGGAAAGGGCTCGGGTTCCTCGCCCCCCGCATGATCTTATAGATATCCTGGTTGCTCTCGGCGCCTTCTAGAACAGTCTGCCAGAAATGTCTCTTAGCCCGCCGTACCGCCCGGCGCAGCTCCCGCCGGGCAGTCTTGCGCACTGATCGTTCCACCATGGGGTGCCTCTCGCGTTCTTCCTGGGCCGTCGGCCCGCTGCGTCGGCCGCCTCTTGGAGTAGGCGAGACAGCGCCTCGGCCAGCCTCTCCAGGCCTCTGGGCTCAACGGCCAGCCGGGGTAGTGCTGTGGCCCCAGCCCGCACAAGTTCCTCGAATCGCTTCATTTCTTCCTCGGAGCTTACCCTTGGTCTAGCTATCGTCCTTGGGGAATCCGCCGGGGAGCGTAATGCTGATCGTGTAATGGTCCGAGCCGGTATGAAGGTGCTCTTCGATAAGCGCGTCAGCAGAGGATATTGGCAAAGGCTAGATCAATGGTATTTCCGCGGGCGTGTGTGGCCTCGCCTGGCGTGGTGAGCAGTCCGAGCCCCTTGTCGGCCGCCCACTGGGCGATGTCCTTTCCGTTCCTCGCACTCCGGGCTCCAGGCTGCCAGGAGAAATGACAGGCGTTGAAGTCGCCCGCGATGAGGCATCTCTCGGGGACGTCCTGCTGGTGGAGGAGGTAGTCGAGTGGCTCGGGTGTCTTCGCGTGTCGATAGAAGTTGATAATAAGGTGCTGTTTACCCGAGCCACAGGATATCACGCGTAGGGGCGGGGCAGAGTTGCTCTGCCCGTATATCTGGGTGGTTCCGGACATACGAGATCACTCTCGGGCCTGATCCGGTTCCCAGGCGCGTTCTGGGGCGAATGCGTGGAAGGAGCGGTGCGTCTGGGTCCTGCAGGCTCCGCCTTCTTTTCTATCCAAACGTTCGGTTCCTGGATGAGCACGACGTCGTAGTCTTCTGCTTCCGCTAGTCGTAGGGCTATGCTATGATAGGCCCCTATTTTGGCCACGTTGGCCTGGAGAACTCGGATCGTCCTCCTGTCGCGAGTTGTTAGTGTTAGGGCCTATTGTTCATAGGGGTCCAGGGATACGTTTCGTCGGCGCCTCTTCATAGGAGACTCGGATCTGTCTTCCTGTGGTGGAGGGCGTTGTGGAGTCTGGCGCCTGCGCGCTAGTGGGGGGCAGCCGCTGGGGTCGACATTGCTGCTGCTGTTGCTGCTGCTGTTGCTGCTGCTGGTCCTGTTGCTTGCCTAGGCGGGCCTCGGCAGCTCTCATGCAGGGCGACGGGGTCGGTCCTTGGGAGGGTTGGGGGGAGGCGGTCGCCGTGGCCCGTTCGAGCTCCATATTGGCTTGCCGGTATAGCTGAGAGCCGATCTTCCTTACGGCGTACTTCTCGATCTTGGAGAGCCGCACGAGTTGGCCGTGAGAGCGCCTGGGTCTGGCAGGGCACTCCTTATGGTCCGCCGGGAAGGGTCCGGAACAGTTCGCGCACCTCTCCGGCTGCTTGCAGTCGTTATCGCGATGGTCTTTCCCGCCGCATCGTCGGCAGGCTTGTTTTCGGTCGCAGGCGTAGCGGGAGTGATAATCCCAACAGGTGTCGCACTGCGCGGGCCGGGCGGTCTTGGCGATCAGTCGGGCTAGTCGGCTGGTGCCGAAGAGCCGCCATCTCCTCTGTATCGCCGCCTGAAAGGACACAATCATTGTCACAGTGGGCTGGTCGGAGCTTTCGGAGTATCTCTTAGCAATGTGCACATCAATTGGTTCGGCACCTGTCTGGAGCTTGATCTCTTCTTTGATAGCTTGGTCATAGTCCACGGCGGCCCCCCAGATATCCGTGAGCTGCCTGGGGCAGTCCGCCACAGCGTACGTGTGCCATTTCTGAAGCCTTCAACCGCCACGGCCCCGAGGCGGGCCGCCCAGTCGTCCTGCCGTTCCACAAGCAGGTCCCTCGCCTCCCGGTCTGAGGCCCGTATAGCCCATCCAGTCTTAACCCGGGCGATCTGTGGCATGCGTTCTGTCCCTAGGTTGAGAGTCTTAGCTACGTGAGCTCTGATGGCATGCCCCCTGATAGCCCCATGCTGGGGACTTGTCGTCGAGCCGCACGAAGACACGCAGGTCATCTTTAGGCGGCTGGACCGGAGGCGCCTTCCAGGGCTTCGGGCCGAGGCGTGCCGGCAGGGGGGGGCCCTTGTCTGTGCCATCCCCTTCTGGGCCATAGCGGCGTAGGTCGGTGCGGTCCCGTCTCTGCCGTGGCGGCTGTTGACATTCTGACCGGCGCGTGTGGGCGCGCCGTTGAGCGCGTCGTCCCAGTAGCTAATGAAGCCGCGCGAGAATTCCTTCGCGAAGCTGAGCGCGTGGCCCGAGTTGAACTGGGCAGCCGTCTTGTCGAAGGCGGTGCAGAATGCGCGGAAGACGGCCAGCTTTGCCTGTTGTGCTTCCATCTGGTTGGCGATAAGTCTCTCTGCCGCGTGGGCAACCGTTACTGCTGGGCCTTGAGCCTCGGGCAGGTCGTCCGGCTCGTCGGTCTCGGTTTCGTCTGCTGCGTCTCCCATTACAGCGTCTAGCTGGTCGGTGTCGGTGTGGGCATTGTCGCTGTTCGTGGAGCCGAATGGAGAGTCGTCGGGTTGCTGTGCGCGTCGTGGCAACAGTAATTCGGCAAGACCCGCGCGTGGGGCCTGCCGGAGGAGCGCTTCTCTAGCTCCTGGGGCGTTCGTGGAGTCATCGGCTCTTGTTCCTGGGGCGGCAGTCGCGCCTGGTCCGCGGGGTTGGGTGCCATCGCCGCCCTCAGCTTGCGCTGAGCGTGGTGTTAAACGCCCTTGTTAGCGGATGTGTGTTGTGTACAGCGAAGTCCTTAACAGATGGTGCCAAGAAAGTAAGAATACAAGGGTGTGTGTAATAAAAGGAGGTGTATAGATAATTGGGCCCTTTTACTGTGGGTTTTCGTCCAGTACGAGCTGGAACGTTGCAAAACAGTACCTCCACGTACTAAACCAGCGGCACGCTATGCCTCGTATCTTGCGATCGGACCATGGCAATGAGACATCCCTCTTATGCGGGATACATTATTACCTATCCGGCATGCGAACGAAGGAACAGGGCTCTGATCTCGTCCCAATTGCATTTGGAGACTGCTGGTACTTTGGCCGAAGCATTCATAACACCCGGATTGAGAGCTGGTGGCATCGGTTAGGCAGTAATCGTGCTGGGTTCTGGCGAGTAAGTATAATTTTATCCATCATCTACCCTAGTTATACTAACTCTCCATTAGCAATACTTTCAATGGCTCACCGAACATGGCTTATTTGACAGTAGCTCAAGGGCGGATCGAGTGGCAATTCTCTATATCTATATGGATACTATCCGTCAAGAGCTAGTCCAATTCGTTCATATGTGGAACAGTCATACTATTCGACATCAGCCAAATCGTCCACACGTTCGAAGCGGGCAACCTACGGTCTTATATCATCAGCTTGATTCTGCTGGTGAACAGAATTATGCCGAGGAGATACCACCGGATCGGCTTCGCATATGCACCGAGCTTTTCGATGAGGATACCACGAACCTAGACGACTACCTACCGCTTAAAACTAAAGAGATATGCGATTATTTGGTTCAATTAAGCATTGGAACTATATCTTCAAGTCCTCCGAACCCGGAATATCCATGGCTTGACGAGTACAACTCGCTCCGGACACATCTGCATCAGTATATTACTGATCAGAAGCAACCGGAAGTCACGTTACTTAGTCGCCCAGAAAATGGTCGGGACCGACTACAACAAGTCTTATCACAGTCTAATATTAGCCTAGACGATCTTGAACAGTTGAGTTTTAGGAGTGACGATGGTAATTAAAGAAAAAGCAAGTGAACGGTTAAGATTGCGATTTTACATGAGCTTGACGACGTGTAACCATTTGCTCCCTATAGTCCCGTCCGCGTTAGAGATACCATCTTCTTGAGTCTCGCCTTCCTTGATATCCTCTAAGACCTGACCTGGGCTCCCTAAATCTGACTTAAAGTCCTGTGAAAAGTCAAAATCCGCCTCAGATGCTACTTGTATCGTAGATTTATTCTCGGCCTCCTCCTTGATAGCCTCTACCTTAAACTTCTTGCTTGTATTCTTCGGCGTCGGTTTAGTCTTAGGGAGTTGCTTGCGTTTCTTCGAAGACGCACTCTCTTTTTTAACTAAAGGTTCGTTCTTGGCGCTAAGAATATGTGCGGGTTCGAAGAGGTCGTCTGGGTTGTTGTCGCTCGTAAGAGAACAAAAGATTAAAGAGTACTTAAAGGTGATGCAATCGCCTTGTTTGGGAAACCGAGCGAAAAGGTCAAGCAGGGATGTCGTCTCGTATGCTTGTGATGGATAATACGAGATCGAGCCTGGATTGTTTGCTAAGCAAGCTGATAGGAGCTTCCAGTCGCGATCGATTAAAGTCTCGTCGTTAATGGCTCTGCGAATAATCTGTTGAATCATGTCGGAATGTGACGGGAATTGCTTGGCTGGTTCGGAAAGAAACAGTGTGTAACCTTCCGTACAAGACTAGGATATCCTATGTGATACTTCTTTACAGGCAATCCTGTATTATCGATGATTCTAAAGGACGCACAATAAAAGTTCACCGTTAGATCGAAGGGCTGGAGCATTGATCGCTTTCTTGTTGCCTGCGCACTCTCAGAGCGATGGGTGTTGCCCTCGTTCGTGGCCGTAACGAGTTGACGTAATCCATTTGTAGACTTTATAGCTGGGACTGTCATCGCAGGAGCTATCTGTCGTTCTGTTTGACTATCGTCTATTGCAGTACGAGATGGGCAGCAAGCATTAATCTTGAGTGGAATAAAGCTCTTGATTCTTCTATCTAGAGAGGGAGTGTAAATGATCTTATATAGCTAGAAGAACAGTGGAAGTGAATGAATAACCCAGCTGTTGGGTTGTGGCTGTGAAAAGCGTAGGCAAAAGGAAGGTTAATTGCCTGCATTAGCCTAGGTTGACTGTGACGGTACAAGTGCACGAACAAGGTCAGGTGCGACTTGGGTAAAGTGATTGTCTACGAAGAGAGAAGGAGGTTCCTAAGGAAGACTCTGACTTTCGCTATTTACATGAATCAAAGTGAGACATTTCATAAAGTATGAAAGTCACATGATCGTTCCCTCACATTGACTGGAAGACAAAATGAGTCTTGGCTGAGTATACGGCCGAATATGCCTCGGCTGAGGGAATGGTGAATAAGCCTTGCAAAAGAAAGGTTGATGAGGCTTGTAGATATTGATGTGCCAGTGTAACAGTGCAACATGCTATACACGTCTTCCCCTGTGATCAGATGGTTGAAGGCTTGCTGGCAGAGCATTTGGCTTGTGTGCCACTGTTCTGGGTTGTTGTCATTATCAGATATCGGCAACATATCGCAAACGTGGTACGGGTTCCAGTGCAGAAGTCATTGAGCTAGCCTCGGCGAAACGTCGATGCGGCTCCGTCGACGATCAGCGCAATCAGCAGACAGCAGGCTCAAGTTATCACGTTGGCGGCATCCCTTTATTGACTGGAACAACGAACGAAGCATCACGCCAAGACGACGAGATCACGGACGGCGAAGAGCTTGTCGGGACGGAAGCTCTTCATGCAGATGGTGTGTCACTACCACTGCCCCGTCCCTGAAACCGTGCTGATGGGTATCTAGCGCCCATGGGAGGATCTGTCTACGCGTTGAAGCGCTTGGATATCATTCGCGCTCTTCTCGATGAACAACACCCAAGAGGGAAGCTCACGATACCAAACATTTATGGGTTACCCGCCTTCATTACATTTGATTGTAGTGACACGGTAGTCTTCGAGTTATTGATGAAGGGAAACAGATAATGTAATGTATTTTGCTCGACTACCTCACCTCGCCAATACGTTGTGTCCTAAAACAGACATAGCGCCATCCATTTGTCCATGGAATAATTGTCAAGTCATCAGTATTTCCAACCATTCCAACAAATTCTTTCCCATTGTAAACACGCACGCTTCCTGGGGTAGACTGATCCAAGTCGACAACTATCGCCAACAACTTGTCATCCAGGGCTGACAGGTAAAGGTCTGCGCGGGGTTCCCACGTGATAACTGAGCAGTCCTTTCCCATCTGCTACCTGATCAGCTTGGAGGGATATGTGGGAAGAAAAGGTTAGGAGATTCCCATACGTCGTCTTTGCATTTTTGGATGAGCGCATTGTCTGAACATGGCCTCTTGACATCGATGTGGTGCATAACTCCTGACGGCATGCTTCGAACACAAGCAACCTTAGGGGCCGCGCAAGAACCTAAGTATCGTTGTTTCACGTTCGCTCCTGAAAGTAGGTGTGCTGTGCGTTATCTAGGGGGCACGACGGTTTAATATTTTCGAAGAGCACAGCATCAAACAGCAAGTGGAAGACCACATGATTACCTCGGGCCGCGAACAAATTCCTGCTCCATGACCCCAAGTGGGGTAGATGGTTTGGTTCACGTGCGTGATGACGTGTGAAGAAGAGCACATAACAAAAAGCGGGACGCTGCGGAATAACATTTCGGCGAATCATTCCCCGACCAATGTAGGGCCCAATTATCTATACACCTCCTTTTATTAACTGTACACCAAAAAGTGGATCAACTGTGGCTGGGTCAGGCGCAGTGCCGATGCCGCTAATTTTGGTGCGCCCATTCCGGCCGGCCAGCTGGCCAGTTCGTGATGCTTGCGTAACAACATCCTGTAACCGTAACTATCAGCAATACCATCAAAACTGAAGCTATTCGCACCGCGTTTTCTGCCCTTACGAGCCCGAATCATGGAGTCGCTTACGAAGACACTATTCCCGACCTTCCAGGCCGCGATGGAAGCCGCCGATACCGTTGCTGAGGCTGAGGGCTACGCCCTACACATTCGAACATCGAAGCGGGATAACGCTGGCCAACGCAAGTCTGCACTTGTTCGTTGTATCAAGGCCGGCCTACGAAAATCGGAAGGATAAAGCTGCTCATATCTCTCGTCGTCGCCTCAATACAGCAACCCAGAAAACAGACTGTGAATTTCGCCTCTCGTTGAAGGAAAAACGCGGTTACTGGACTATCTCTTATCTTCACGATGTTCACAATCATCGCCTTGTTGATGACCCGATGGTCTTTCCGAAGTACCGGGCGCTTGTTATCCAGAAGTATCGCGACGACATTATCCGGAAGTTTAATAACAATACCCGGCCGACCGATATTGCTGGCGAGCTTCGTGACCTGGTTCACGACGATCCTCGTTTAGCCGGTATCACGGCTCAAGACGTGAGTAACGCCTTGGCTAGGCACCGTCAGGAAGAACTAGCTGGCCGTACGCCTCTTCAGTTTCTCTACGACCGGCTAGATAAGTCCGACTTCTTTCATCGAGATAGTCGTGATCCCCAGGGCCGGCTAACTGGGCTATTTCTCGCGCCTCGTGCTACCTTCCATCGATGGCGTCAGCATCACGATGTCCTCGTCCTCGACTGTACCTACAAGACGAACCGATTCAATATGCCGTTATTGAATATCTGCGCGGCCACTCGAGATAACAAA